TTGTGCAATTTAGTTAGCTTTCATTTGCTCATAACAATATACCGAATATACAGTATATGTTACAAAGTGTGTAATTAGTCATATCGTGTAATGTAAACTAACTTAATCTAGTTTTAACATATCCAAACCTATTTTATCCCATCCTGACCTAGCCTGACCTAGCCTAACTTAACCTAACATTAGATTGGTTAAGTTAGGCAAAACCAGTTTTGGTTAGGTTAAGTTAGGTATCCTAATGAAACCGACCTAGCCTAATCTAACCTAACCTATTTTAACCTGATCACGACTAACTTAACTAATCTAATGTTCAATTAAGTTATGGTAGGCTACCCTTAATAAAGATAGTATACAATTGGTTTTGCTAGGTTAAATTAGGTTAACGAAATGACACTTTGACTGTAACATTGTATATATAATGTCTTATTAAGCTAAAGACAGCAACATAGATCACACATAAACACAACTTGGAGTCACAGTCATAATTGCCTGACCGTCGGTAGGTTGTCTCTAAGCAGTAAGTACAGGCTGGGCATGACTGTGTTCCTTGTTATAACAGCTGAGTTGAGGTCATGGTGAAGGTCTAGGAGAGTTATTTGAAATTTGTACGATGTGTGTGTGTGTGTGTGTGTGTTTGAGAGGACCAGGGTGTATATATATATATATATATATATATATATATATATATATATATATATATATAGAGAGAGAGAGAGAGAGAGAGAGAGAGAGAGAGAGAGAGAGAGAGAGAGAGAGAGAGAGAGAGAGAGAGAGAGAGAGAGAGAGAGAGAGAGAGAGAGAGAGAGCAGATGTTCAGGCACTTAAAATCTTTTTTTTTAAATTGGGCTGACAAATAGGCAACATAAAATCGAAAAGGGCATTAATAATTTTACTTCAGAAATAATTCTGAAAAATATTTTGCATAGCTAATTTTTGTTAATTTTCTCAAATGAAACTTTACTGCTTCTCAGTGAGATATTGTTACATTTAAAGATGTCCGTATGATTCTTCTTGGTGTATTTATAAACAAAAACTAAAATTACTTCAGAAACTTATTTTCCAGTTTCCAGAGAGATGTCGGCCTCAACACATCCAATAAATATTGTGGTTGCCGACCGGAAGCTGTGGTACCTACACGTAGTAAGAAGGCATGTATTCTGTTAATTATTTTACGAGCCGTGGCAACTTTGTCCTCAAGAGTTTATAAATGTTGAGTAACAAAGTAATCATTCTCGTAGTTCACGGATTTGACGCAATATACTAATGCACTGCCAATCTGTACAGTAGATAACACATTGCTACCAAACTCTTTAACTAAATTGCTTGGTTTAGAAGAAAGACTCATGTTAGGCATTGTAAGTGAAATGTGTTAAGAAAAGAACTAACTCATCCGACTTACACACGACCAGCACCCATCAGATAGGTTACCGTAGGAAATGTTCGTTTTCAATATTTTCTCTCATAGCAGAATGATATAAACATAAATGAAAAAACAACAAAGTAAGCATATTAGGATAAAATAAGTAATTTTATGTTGAAATTACAGAAATGGGTCAAAAATAGGCTTATAAAAGGTGAAAATGAAAATAGATAAAAATATTAATATAGCAAGTTACATTTTGTCTATACTTCATAACATAATCTCAATTCTTACAACTTGACAATCGTACACACTGGTCTCTGCTTTCTACATGTTTTACCACTACAACGAAAGGAACAAGAGGGAACGCTGTAATTAGAGGATATATCCAGTCAAGGGTTATAATGACAAGGACAAGAGTAAGATAAGGAGAGCAAGGATATTTGGTAGGGAGGGACATAAGCGTGAGTGGTAAGGTACGGAGACAAGGGTGTGTGGTAAGGTAGGGAGGCAAGGGTGTGTGGTAAGGTAGGGAGGCAAGGGTGTGTGGTAAGGTAGGGAGGCAAGGGTGTGTGGTAAGGTAGGGAGACAAGGGTGTGTGGTAAGGAGGGAGGCAAGGGTGTGTGGTGAGACAAGGGTGTGTGGTAAGGTGTGTGTAAGGTGAGGAGACAAGGGTGTGTGCAGTAAGGTAGGGAGTGTGCAAGGTGTGTGTAAGGTGGGGAGGCAAGGGTGTGTGTGGTATGGGAAGCAGGGGTGTGTGTGTGGGTAAGGTGGGGGGAGGCAAGGGTGTGTGGGGTAAGGCAGGGGAGGCAAGGTGTGTGTGTGTGGTGGGGTGTAGGGAAGTGTGTGTGGTAAGGAGGGAGGCAAGGGTGTGGTAAGGAAGGAGGCAAGGGTGTAAGGAGGGAGGCAAGGGGTGGTAAAGGAGAGGGGAGGACAAGGGTGTGTGTGTGGTGTGAGGAGGCAAGGGTAAAAGTGGTAAGGAGGGAGGGCGGTATAGAGGAGGCAAGGGTGTGTGGGTATAGAGGCAAGGTGGTAAGGTAGGGAGGCAAGGGTGTGTGGTAAGGAGGGAGGCAAGGGTGTGTGGTAAGGAGGGAGGCAAGGGCGTGTGGTAAGGAGGACAAAAAGCAATTTTACTGAAACGGTTTGAAGTCCAGTTTTGCTTAATGTGAATAGTTCATTCGGGTGTTATCAACGAAAATGGTGTCCTTGTTAACTACCACGAATGAGTAATCTCTGTACATTTCACAAGGATAGAAAATTAGCGGTAAGTTACAAGGATGTTTTCGAAGACTCAGATACAAAGGATTAGTAACTATTTACATGATTTAATTTCGGGTAGGACAGGAATGATGGGAAAGTTACGAAGATGGGGGAGAAGAGTGAAGGTAGCAGAGAAGAAATGGGTTGTGGTTTGAAAGCAGGTGGAGTGAATGACACAAATAGGTTTAGTTACTGTGTGCTAGTCCTTGTCTTTGTTTTAAACGAGACCTGCCTGTTTGTTTCTGTCTGTCTTCCATTCTTACGTGTATATAATCACAAAATTCATGCAATGACATTTAGTTCCTAAAAAAAAAAACGAAAATATGCCCACAAATAAATGCTGTTTAGTTTTAATCTTGAAAGCTACGAGTTTAGAGAACTTAGAGGCCATATTAATTCTGATTGAGAAAAATAGCAGTCCCAGGCAGATGCTCTCTCCCCGAGGCCTTGGTAACTGTTGCTCTGCTCTGGTGCAGCAAGTAAGAAGGCGCGGTCAACGGCCTGACCTTGAGACAATAATAATCACTCATATCTTTGCTCCTCTCCGCTCCATCTACCCGATCACTACACTGAAGAAGACAGACAACAACTCGTGAAGAGGCTTGACGTTTGCATTGAAACTGTGAACCAAAAGCTAAACCAAAAGTTTTCTCGCCCGCTCTTCCCACCCTGGCACTGAGTGTGCAAGTTGCCGTTGCTAACAGAGAATTATCAGTGGTCTACAACGCCCCCATAACGTACATGTTTTTAATCATAGATTATTATGATAATTGTGGAAGTTTGGGCAGTAAACCACTTATTCATTAATTCGCTAACTATAGGATAAAATAAGACACCCACCAAGCAGATAAGAGTGTCCAAATTCTCCATTACCAAATCCCCTTCGATCTATGTAAATATATAATAATAATGTTTGCCCTTTGTGTAACGAGGATGGCCGGCCCAAGGGCCACCTAGGCGTGAATTTGTTTAAGGTGTAGAAGCTGTCGCCAACACACCAAGCAGTTGCATGAACCCAATGTCAAGGAATAGTCCGAGAAGACCGTACAACTCGCCAACTGCACTGGCTAACCATTATCCTGGAATACGATCCGCAAATCGATTAACATCCATGTCCCCAATTACTGCTGGGTAGACAGATGCAAACGGAGTAATGCAACTTGACCATAATTTCACCCTGCCCGAGGATCGACTTGGGTCCGCTCGCTTGCGAGGCCAGCAATCTGACCATTACAACACATAAATTAGTTATGGTACCTCCCTGGATACTTGTTATAACTTGGTCCTCGCCATACTAAAATATTGTGTATGTGAACTAGTTTGTCCTCGAAAGGTATATTTTTCATTTCATATGTGGCACACATACCAAGGATAATTGTTTCTTTCAAGTTTTACTAAGAGGCTGCAGTAACTACCACTTGTTGCACTTAACTCCCACTAGTTTTCAGTTTATTTTGAACAGAGTTTAAAACTCGAAACAATTAAGTGTCATTCGAATCAGTTTCATAAAAAGGAATGTCAATGAAACAATACTCGAGACACGCTTCATAACAACTAGACAAAGTTTGTCTGTATAAACATTTTATAAAAATATGTGAGTCAATAGGGTAAATATTAAAAACACTGATAATCTTTCAATAAATACACGGTAGCATTATCGAAGACGGAATGCCGTACTACTAGAAGATTGTTTGAGAGCCTTATGGGTTCGAATACCGTAAGACACCCGTATTTATACATACGGTTGGCACATAAGATAACGAAACGCCAGCAGTACCATAGACGGCGATTATGTCCTGAAATGAATCTGTATGATGGTGATCTGTCGGTGTAATATCTGCAAGTCTGTCGAAGTAATCTGATGGAATGTCGATTATAATGAGATGGTGTCAAAGGTTATGGCCCAGTGGTAAAATGCAAAATATTGTCTATATATTATGAATTTCCGAGGGAGTAAAGCGCAAAAGAGGGTACTATCTTCAGTTTACAGAGGAATATATAGGCTACCGTTGAAACTTTTCACATAAAAAATTTACAAAGAAATAAGGACAAAGAAATAAAATCTAGTTTAAATTTTTTAGTGTTTTTTTTTACCTCTATAAAAATATAAGTAGGTTTACAGGAAAATAATGTAAATAAATAAATAATATTCTTCTGTGATAATATATAATATAAGTGTGTAGGATCACCTGTACTGTATAAGCAAGCAAGGCACCAACACATCCTTCAAATATATATATACAGTGGGAGTCATCTAATATCTTCTTCTTTTACGTCACATATTATCTTGCATCACTAAATTCTGAGAACCATTTGTTGTATTAGCAATTGAATCTTGTCCTTAACAACCCTGGAAAACCCTGTGTGCTTTTATATCCTTGGCTCTAAAGGCGGGATTAAGAGGAGTTTATAAAAGTGAGTTGCGTTGGTGCTCTCTCTTGGCTGCTCCTTCAGTATACTCGTCCTCCCAGCACACTCACCTCCACTCGTTATACTCCACGGCACCACACCAGCCACCTTTTCCCTCTCCGCCTCCTGGCACTCTTACAGTAGTAGGTGTGTGTGAGTGTGTGTATGTGTGTGTGTTTTGCGGCTTACGTGTAATCCTGTTGTTTTCACTCTTGTATGCACAAATATTTACAATTCTAATCATCACAACAAAAAACAGAAACAGTTGACTAGTTCACTTATGTTTATTTATTCATATATATATATATATATATATATATATATATATATATAATTTTTATTATTTCATGTTTATTAAATTTATTAGCATTTCAATTTTCACCATAAACTGTTTCAAACTTCAAAAGGTAAAATTGAAAACTTAATTTTGGCGGGAGGACAACTTGAGATAAATATGAGTGTAGGTGGAGAACATAAGAACATAAGAACACAAGAATGGAGGAAACTGCAGCGGGCCTATTGACCCATACTGGGCAGTTATACCCAACCCCTATTGCTCATATAAACATCCAACCTATGTTTGAAGCTATCCAGCGTATTCGAGTTAATGATGATATTTGGTAACTTGTTCCATTCATCCACTACTCTGTTTCCAAACCAGTGTTTACCTGTTTCACGCCGAAATCTAAATTTTTCTAATTTAAAACCATTGTTACGAGTTCGCTCCTGGTTGGATAGTTTGAGTACCTTTGTAATGTCCCCTCACTCTACGTCTCTCGAGGGAGTGCAAATTAAGATGCTTTAACCTGTCTCTGTATTCAAGGTTCCTAATGCCCGGGATTAGTCTTGTCATTCTCCTCTGGATTCTTTCCAATGATTCTATATCCATTCTGTAATACGGTGACCAGAACTAAACTGCGTAATCCAGGTGAGGTCTCACAAGCGCTAGATATAATTTTAAGATGACCTCGCTAGTCTTGTAACTAACACTTCTTTGCATGAACCCAAGTACTTTATTTGCCTTGTTATGAACAAAAACACATTGTTTACTTGGCTTAAGATTCCCACTTGTCATTACTCCTAAATCTCTCTCGCAGTCGGATTCCACAATGGCATCGTTGTTCATCTGGTAACTGGTTTTCCTGTTTACATCTTCTATACTGAGTAGGGGCTGAGGGTGGGAGGTAGGGAGGGTAAGTAAGGTGGAGAGGCCTGGTGTGGGGAGGTTAGGTGAAGAGGGGAGGTGGAAAGGGTAGATGGAGAAGGGAAACCTGTTGTGGGGAAGGGAGAGGACTAAGAGGAGCATAATGTGGGGAGGGTGGTGGGATTGACAGTATCGAATTCCAATGTTTATTGACATTGCTGAAATTAGTTTTTGAAATGATGATAACCCCTTGAGTACGATGACTTAGCCCCTTGAATACGATGACTTAGCCCCTTGAGTACGATGACTTAGCCCCTTGAATACGATGACTTAGCTCCTTGAGTACGAGGACTTAACCTCTTGAGTACGACGACATAGCCTCCTGAGCACTGTGACTTAATTCCTTGAGTGCCTCTCAATTGTCTTCTTTCTCTCCCAGGGTATCTGTTGCTTCTCTCACTCTCACTTATTTTCCTCTCACTCCTCTTCCTCTCTCTCCAGACACCTCTCACTTCTCTCTCCCCTTTCTACCTCTAGTCACCTCACACTCTTCTTCTCCCTGTATACCTCTCTCGCTCCCTCTCTCCAGACACCTCTCCCTCTCTCCTTAAATACGTCTCCCTCCTACCCCCTCTCTCTTCAGTCACCTCTCACTTTTCTCTCTCCCTCTCTCCTTAAATACGTCTCCCTCCTACCCCCTCTCTTTTCAGTCACCTCTCACTTTTCTCTCTCCCTCTCTCTCTACCCATCTTTCACTCTTCTCCCTAACCAGCTTTCATTTTAACATAGTTTATGGTTCAACCCAAGCACTCATATACTGTAGATCTAATATACAGTACTTATTATCTTCTCAGATCATTATACTTGTATGTTTTCACCTATCACATGAGATAGCTATGCTTAGGAATTATATATAGACATAAACACCATAGCTTTCAGACTGTTACACTCACCACAATAATATACTAGTAAATACCAGTGCACAGATACTGATATAACTCGTACAAAACATCAGGCATTATACTAGTTACCGCTTGGAAGCGTTTATCATTTTCTGTGATACCGCACTATAGAAAACCTAGATATTATATTGAGAAATTTTTGGGGTTACACAGCTGTAATTTAAATCCTAAGAGATTTTACACCAGTACTAACCTACGCAGTACACGAGCAATTTGTAAAGTAGATAGCATGATGTAGAGAAAAAATTAAGAAATAAGAGGTAGACGACAAGAACTTGGAAAAAAGATTTAACATAGAGCGGATTAGAATCTGCCCAGGTGTTAAAAAAGTTAACAGGGTATACTGTAATTTAGAGTTGGATATCAAAAGGGAAGGGGAATGGCAGCGTAGGTAGGGTAAAGGAAGTACTGTAAGTGAAGGGAATGGGGCAGCCATTAGACATTCATAAGTGACCTAAAAAAGCTCCATCTAGTGTTTTTTTTTAATTAGATAACTGCTGCTGAGGATAGGTGATAGCAATAAGCCAGAAACGGAAATAGTTTAATAGTCACAGTAGGGATATTAATTGAACGGCAGCAAATAACTATAGTAGAGAATAATAATTTTGTTTAACTATTTTTGTCGCCATTTCTCTACCACAATCTAGTTCAGGGTTACTCATTTGCTATTTTTGAAGGCCCAGTCACATAAATATTCTTGGTGGCAAAGGTCCGGTTGAAAGGTTTCATTTAAGGTGACGTAATAACAAGCAGGAGTACACATTACGATTTATTTCTTGCTCCGTGCATGAATTATTGTAAATAAAATAAGTGAAACCAAGAGACAATTAAAATATTGTTAATCCCAGATGCACTTGAAATAAAAACCTAAAATAGTTTTTCCAGAGGGAGGGATGGAAGGAGAGAGAGAGAGATATTTGGGTCCGCATCATTGCTAGCCGTGGTCCGCCTATTGAGGAGCTTGGGTCTATTCTCTTTTGACATTGTCCATCCCGAGGGCCTCCCGGGTCTTCTGAATGATATCTAGGAAGAGGAGAGTCCCAGTGAAGACCATGAAAGTGCCGAGCCAGTGGTGCAGGGTGAAGGGGTTCTGGAAGTAAATAATGGAGAACACGAGAGAGAGGAACTTCCGAAGGGTGAGCACCAACGTGACGGTGAGGGCGGTGCACTCTGAGGTCAGTCTGAATACCGAGCTCACACACAAGTATCTGGCGAGGCACATTAAGGAAAGTAATTTGTTTTTTCTATGCACACATCAGTCTTCTACATATGTAGTTTCCCAAAAAAGATAAATACGTAGAGTTATCGCTAATTGGCAATTATCCTTATTTAGCGTAACACAAACACACACACACAAGGACTAAGAAAGAGGCTTATGTACACAGGGTGACCCTACGAAACATGAGGTCAGGCCAAAAACATGACATCTACTAATCTACACACCACCACCACCGCAAAAATAAGAGGAGCTAAAAGAAAGGGCGACGTAACTATAAATAGTCACGTCAAGTCAGGTAAATAATATGAGACCCACTAATCATCTATCCTACATCTACCTCGAATGTTTTCAAAGCATTTTTAACCTTGGGCCACTGACAAATAAATTTGTGTAATATATTATCACTTGTACTGACAATTACTAAACAAACATAACCTAACCTACTTTAGGTATAGATTCGCTATATTTTGAGGGTAATGCACGCCTCACGTGAAACAACAAATTTGACCATATACGAATTAATTTCCATTGACTTAGAGTAATAATAACACCAAGTTATCCCTATTTGGCAAAAACTTCACTTGCTTTTGAAGGCTTAAGCGGCGGTTTTTCTTATTAAGTGTAAAACACAAATACACACATACAGGTACACAAACACACACAAATTATGTTTTTATCAAATAGGGACATATTTGTTTTCATTGTTCCTACTAAATGGAAAAAAATTCATATACGATGAAATTTACAGTTATGAAACAAGGTAAGTTTTACCATTTACGAATTAATATCGGATAGGTATGCGTTAGCACATATTTGATAAATGACCTACGTACCCCCCAGTAACATTAGTTTTGCTAGTTTTCTTATATATTATTAATAATTCATTTTTATTTTGTTTGAAAGGAAAATTATGGTGGTCCTGGCAATAAGAATAAAAGGATGCTGAGTGAGGACGTTACCCAGGAGGAAGAGCCAGAGTCTGGGCACGAAGGCAAGGCCGGGCAATTGGGAAAGGGCAGGAAGAGGAGCTGACCTGCTGAATCTGGCCACGTGATCCACAATACTACTCCCTGTTATCAGGAACCCAGGCAGTGACAATGTGTGCTGTAGGCAAGATACAAACACGTAGATAGAATATATATATATATATATATATATATATATATATATATATATATATATATATATATATATATATATATATATATATATATATGTGTGTGTGTGTATATATACCTTATTTGTACTTCTCTGAATGCTGTACTCATCCTGAAGATGAATTACACAAAAAAGCGCTTAGGAACTTCATTGTTTCTTCTTTCCTTGTGGTTATCATATATACATATATACATATATATATATATATATATATATATATATATATATATATATATATATATATATATATATATATATATATATATATATATATATATATATATATATATATATATATAATCACTGTAGGTGCGTGATGTTAAGAAAAATGTAAGGAAAGCAAAGAGAGACTATGAAGTCAAAATAGCGAGAGAATCCAAGGCGAATCCCAAGGGATTTTTCCAGGTATATAGAACAAAAGTCAAGGACAAATTTGGGCCTTTAAAGTCAGGGAGGGGAGAAGTGATAAATGGCAGTGAGGAAATAAGCAAAGCATTGAACAACTACTTCTTATCAGTTTTCACAGAAGAAATTCACGAGGAAATTCCAGAGGTGGAATTGATATTTAGGGGAAAGGAAGAAGAGAAATTAAAGAATATCACTATCAGAAAAGAAGATGTTCTTAAGAGGATAAATAAACTAAAGAAGACAAAATCCCCAGGGCCGGATGAAATTTTCCCTGAGTCTTGAAAGAGTGTAGGGAACAGATTAGCGGACGTCTTGTAAATTTATTTACAAAATCATTAGACACCGGAGTTGTGCCAGACTTGTGGAAACAGGCAAATGTAGTACCCATATTCAAAAAGAGAGACAGAGCATCAGCATCAAATTACCGGCCCATCAGTTTGACGTCAGTAGTGGGGAAATTTCTTGAATCAATTATAGCAGATAGCATCCGATCGCATCTAGAGAAAAGCAAATTAATCTACGACTCTCAACATGGGTTTACAAAGGAAAAATCTTGTCAAACAAATCAGATGACGTTTTTTAGGAAAGTCTTCGAGGTAGTAGATAATGACGAAAATTACTATGTTATTTACTTAGACTTTAGCAAAGCATTTGACAGAGTACAGCATCAGAGGCTCCTGAGAAAAATTAAGGCTCATGGTAGCAAGGGGAAAGTTTTAAATTGGATAAAATCATGGTTCACCGATAGAACGCAGAGGGTCAGCGTAGATGGTGTTAAGTCTGAGTGGGGCCGTGTAACCAGTGGGGTTCCCCAGGGGTCAGTACTAGGCCCACTCTTGTTCATAATCAACATACACGATCTAGATACTAGGATCAGCAGTGACATAAGCAAATTTGTGGATGACACCAAAATAGGGCGGCATATTAATTCAGGGCAGGATGCAAATGCTTTACAGGAGGATCTAAATAAACTGCAGGGGTGGTCTGAAAAATGGCAAATGAAATTCAACACCAGCAGATGCAGCGTACTTAATATTGGAAGAACAAATGCTGACAATGTATACAGCCTTAACAACACCAACCTAGAGAAGTCGACTTGTGAAAGAGACCTAGGGGTACTTGTAAGCCCGGTCCTACAGCCTAGAAAACAGTGCGTTAATGTTCGAAATATGGCAAACAGAGTATTGGGTTTTATATCGAGAAGTGTAAGTAATAAGAGTGCAGAGGTCTTATTGCAACTATATCTTGCGCTAGTCAGGCCACACCTCGATTATGCGGTTCAGTTCTGGTGCCCTTATTATAGAATGGATATCAATTCACTAGAGTCGGTGCAGCGAAGAATGACGAAAATTATTCCGGGACTTAGAAACCTTCCATATCAGGATAGGTTAAAGAAACTTAACTTGCATTCCCTAGAAAGACGAAGAGTGCAGGGAGATATGATAGAAGTATTCAAGTGGGTGAAAGGAGTCAATAAAGGGGATATAGATAAAGTTCTTATAATATCCGAGCAGGATAGGACTCGAAGCAACGGATTTAAGTTGGATAAATTTAGGTTTAGGAGGGAGATAGGAAGAAACTGGTTCACAAATAGGGTGGTGGACGAGTGGAACAAGCTTAGCAACTTTGTAGTAAGTGTTGGAACTCTGGAAAGTTTCAAAAGGAGGCTAGATAGATTCATGGATGATAGAGAGTGGTAGTAACTCTCGACAGGAGCTGCCATGCACAGGCCAACCGGCCTATTGCAGACTCCTTATTTTCTTACGTTCTTATGTTCTTATGATCCATGTACAATCAAAGACAAAAGTTGTGCCGCGGTTTTGTCCGAAGATTAAATATAACTCGTGAAACATTATGAGCCCCCTACCACAAGACAGAGTGCACCAAAAGTTTAGCCCTTCGGCATATGTTTTCACCAAATTTCACGACACGACTTTTGTCTTTCATTGTACAGTATATGTTGATAACCACATAGGAAACAAGAAAACACGAAGTTCCCAAGAGCTTTCGTGTAATTCACATCATATAATGAGACATAATACTCAACCACTTAGGATGAAGTACACTATTACACTCACAATAAAGAAGAGTGCCTCGTGGGGGTGTTTGCCGTGCTTAGTATAGAGACACTCCTGGTAGATGCCCATACGAGCCGACATGAAGAGTGCGAAGGTTAGAATAGCGATGCCCATGAGCCAAGTGGTGAAGCTGGAGAAGCCCTCGGAGTCCGCAGGCTCCTCGTCCTTGAATGTTAAATCAGACTTAGTTAGCTTCTTCCTGAATTACTGAAAGAGCTTGTTTAACTTCCTTCTTCTAAAATAATGATAAAAAATAAAAATGAGAATAAAACGAAGAGTCGAAAACATAAGTGATTCCTGTATTAAATGGTAAATATCTGACCTTATGGGAATTGTCAATACAATACCTTTGTACTCTATTGTAGATATCACACACCTAACATATACAAACAACAATGAAAATATACCGATGATTTCTTTTGACCATCTTGTGATTATTGGTTCTTCATGTTCCTGCGACCGACAAATGAATCATTACTAACCAAGTGTTCAGCAGAAGCGAAGGTACAGATGATAGTGCCGAGTGTAATCATCAGCACGGACAGGTACTTGGTAACGGTGTAATGTCGACCCAGGACCAGGATGCCCATCAAAAGGCTGGCTATAAGGCCTCCCTGTCACCATAACACACAATCGTATTTTAACGCTATTCATGATTTAAGTTCTTAATCTTGTTCTTCATTTAGACCAAACTATTTAAAACATTATATACTACCATTAGTATTAGTAGTAGTAGTAGTAGTAGTAGTAGTAGTAGTAGTACTAGTACTAGTACTAGTAGTACTAGTACTAGTAGTACTACTAGTACTAGTACTAGTAGTACTACTAGTACTAGTAGTAGTAGTAGTAGTAGCAGTAGTAGTAGTAGGATGGGCCCAAGCGCAAGATGTTTCTACGCCAGACTCGCGGAGCTGATCTCCGAACAGAAGCAACAGCCCAGAAGTTATGTCACAGCCTGGATGAGATGTCGACTGTCCTTCTCTCTCCTTCGGTCGGCTTTGCTCTGCCTCAGGGGAACGAGAGCTTCTGCCCCTACTCCGTCAACTGCTGCAGATATCGACTATGAGGCTACAGTCACCGAATGCCGCATCGATCTGCGGCTCAACTAATTTAACACAGATAGGATAGTTGCTTATGTATTAGGATAGTTAATATTAAGGTAAATAAATGGTGGCGAAGGTGTGGCTATTGGGGGAGGCTGGAGGCCACGTTTAAAAAAAAAAAAAAAAAAGTAGTAGTAGTAGTAGTATTGGCCTCCAGCCTCCCCCAATAGCCACAAATTCGCCGCCATTTTATTACCTTAAAATTAACTATCCTAATACATAAGAGGCTACTCTAGCTGTGTTAAGTTAGTTGAGCCGCAGATCTATGCGGCATTCAGTGAATGTTGCCTCGTAGTCAATATCTGCAACTGTTGTCGGCTTTGGGGCTGATGCTCTCGTTTCCCTGAGGCAGAGCAAAGAAGACCAAAGGAGAGAAAAGGACAGACGACATCTCAACCAGGCTGTAACATGATTTCTGGGCTGCTGCTTCTGTTCGGATAGCACCTTCGCGAGTCTGGCGTAGAAGCTTCTTGCACTTGGTCCCATCCCACCAGAGGTTGTGAACACCAGAGGAGTGAAGCTGCCTTGATCAACGTTCAAAATTCTCTCCCCATATGCCCTTATCATGTCGTTCTCCTTCCTCCTGTGAGGCAGCATCGGGAGCTAAGTTACGGTGACATACGGCCATGGGATAAAAAATCCTGATGTCGAAGAAGGCTCGCTGTCCCCGCGTCCAGAATCCTCAAGCACTGACGTCAACACGGGCTTCGTTGGATGTGTTTCAAGTCCTATGTTGGAAATTCTTAACATCCAATGGAAGGACGGCCGGTTCTACCCTGACATCACGACACATTTCCTTCAACATATTTGCTGTGAGATCCCCTACTTCGCCATGCCTTTCTTGCACACCATGGCGTGATCGACGTCATAGGAAGAGCCACACACGCATTGGGAGGGCAAACCTTCTATTGGCCTACCGTAACTTAGTGCAATGGCATCTGTAAATTCTTGTTTATTAAGACTGAAACCATTTGCCCTTATCGGTAACGTAGTTAACCAGTTCGAGGCGCCCACCTCTTGCGCTATAGCTTCTTTTTTCTTTCAAATTCTCTGGCACTTGCAGCCTCAGTTGTTGCAACGTATGATTTTGGCCGTGCTGTCGTTCTGTCGTATTGGACCGTCGAATCTTGTTTAATTCGCTGGTAGCCACCTTGCCTCTTGCGTTCTGAGCTATTATATGGTTAGTGAGAGTTCCCGTGAGCTCAACTGAGTTTTGATGCTCAGTGGCAGCAATCTTCTCTGGATTGGTCAATCCCATTCATCCCAGTCTCGGTGGTAGTACAAGGAGTTATTTTTCTGCTGCGGTTAATTGAAGATGTTTCACTAATTTGGGAATGAAATTGACGTTGATAGCTTCTTCCAGAGGGTGGAGGGGAGGGGGGCGATATCAGGGATAGTGCGCATCAGGTAGTTCCAGCGATGCTTGACTCCGTGGGTGAATATTACTACTACCACGACTACTTTTTTTAAACGTGGCCTCCAGCCTCCTCCAACAACCACACCTTCGCAACCATTTTATTACCTTATTAAATATCTTAATACACAAGTAGCTATCCTAGCTGAGTTAGTTAAGTCCCATATCTATGCGGCATTCAGTGACTGTTGCCTCATAGCCAATATCTGTGATCGTTGTCGGCTTTGGGGGCAAGGATCTCGTTCTCCTGAAGCAAAGCAGTGCAGACTTAAACAGAGAGAAAGGACAGTCAATATCTCAACCAGGTTGCAACGTAACTTCTGGGCTGCTGCTTCTGTTCAGATTACTAGTTCTACTACTATTACTACGACTAATAATAATAATAATAATAATAATAATAATAATAATAATAATAATAATAATAATAATAATAATAATAAAAAGAATAATATCAACTTACACTTCTGAAGATAATATGTAGCGGCATGGAAATGTTATAACCAAAGGCCATGTTATTGGTGACGTTGACTAAGAAGAACATCGTGACAAGTACTAGATAATCTCTGCGGAGGGGAGAACAATAGCAGGTTAAAGCGACTTGAAGAAGGTAATTTGATATTTGTCGGAGAGAGAGAGAAGTTGAAAATAGAAAGAACCACTACATGGGCAGCAAGAAATAGTTTTGACAGTTTTTAATCATCAAATCAATCTTAACATCAAAAGTGCACACACACACACACACACATATATATATATATATATATATATATATATATATATATGCAGGTATATCATGAGTCCATATAAAACACGGCCTTCCATATACAAACAATACTTCAATACTCGGGAATCGAACCCTGGACCTCTGCGCGAAAACAGGGAACGCTACCACTGCACCACAAGGACAACAAATAAAATTTTAGGCTTTGTTATATTCAACACAAAGCCCGTTCATCGAGCTTGTTAAGCGCCGTGAACCTCCATTGGGGATTGCCCCGCTGACTACTGAGGTATTGTTTATATATATATATATATATATATATATATATATATATATATATATATATATATATATATATATATATATATATATATATATATATATATATATATATATATATATATATATATATATATATATATATATATATATATATATATATATATATATATATATATATATAGACTAAATTTACATCACATAAATCCTTAAATTGAATACCTAGAAGAATACTTGTGAATAGTATCCATAAAGGGCTAATCAGTGATCCTATGTTGCAGGTTATATTCAACTTAATCACTATGCCCACTACATCATATTGATCATAGCGATTATACTGTATAGAAAAACCACCTTTATCAATTACATAATAGAAGGACTCAACAGGTCTTCAAGATAAGTAAGGGGTTCCAGTTGATAAGGGTGTTGCCATTAGAAGCAGAAAGATCACTGGGCTTTGATAGTTGCTCTAATGGAGTAATCATTATCCACTTCACTTCAATTATATACTCAAACGGCGCGATTTCTCTTTACCTACTGTCCGTCAATACTCTGTCACGCCATCACAGTCCTACACCTCGTACACACCAACACAGTCCTACACCTCTTACACACCAACACAGTCCTACACCTCTTACACTCCAACACAGTCCTACACCTCTTACACGCAATCACACGCTTCTAAACTCGTATTGTTTACTCTCCTTTTGTCTCAGCACAACATTAATAAAAACAATCTCAACAGAAACTCGGGAACATATTGAGCTCACTAACTCCATCATACGGGTCAACAAGCAGAAAAGAGTCACGAGTGTCGAATGTCTGATATGCTTAGGATTGTAACTTGCATCATCTTGACTACTGTATTTGTACAGTATATATGATGGCCATTACCTTCACAATAACATAACATCACTAACGATAATGCAATGCCGGGCGACCCAATTTTTAACTGAATTATGTCATCTTGTTTTTCCTAATAGGTTGAGGGCGCTTAGACTCACAACTCTCCAGACAAGATAAGACATAATGATCTTCATGAGGCAACCATAACCTTGAGAGGTATGGAAAACGTTAACTCAGATCCTTCAAGCAAAAGAGGACGTAACTTATAGCTAACAATATTAGGGTTGATTTTGTTTTTCTACTTATCATTTCACCATTTATAAGCTTACTAGCCGTTCGGACGGTTGGTCTCTCCTGTGTTAGAACAGAAGGAAACTGAAGGAAAACCTGTGATATTTGGATGTGAGGGTAACAATGGATAACACCATTTTCACGTGTCTGGGCCAAATAGGACTAGATACGCGCGTTATCACCAACACCCCCATATACTGTGGACCCACAGAACAGTCTACCAGCTGAACTCATGGTGATAATAAATATAGCCCTAAATATAATTATCAAGAACAATGGAGGGGGTCGTACATGGTCATCTGCCTCCTATCGATTTGGCCACCGCTCGTCATTAGTCAGATTAGATAGACGGTAGACAGTAAGCAGGGAGGGAGCATGGATACAGTTTAAACTCGTACAAGTTCTATGGTCAGAATAAAGCATCTAAAGGTTATATTGGGCATCCTTGATCAAATTACCTTACTGTTTATTAATGTATATCCGCTCTGTCTAGGTAAAATGAAAATTATATACCTACACGTTCTATGTATAGTATACTGTATACTAGCGTTATCTATATAAAGGTTAAATTGTATACGCGCATTGTCTATAATGCGCGTTTACATTTTAACATTTATATCGACAATGCGGGTACACAGTTTAGCATGTATATAGACTCTATATGCATGCTAAACTGTATACCAGCATTGTATATATACTGTACATGCCAATCTAAAGCTAAATTTGCTTGAAGACTTTATGAATAAATATCTTTCTATCTATATACCTGTCTATCAAGGTCCAGGTATATTTTTGCTCTCCTATATCATGTAGGAGTCCAGATATGCATTCGAAAGATAAGTAGTGCCTTGTAGTGTGGCCGCTGAGATCAGTATTACGTACTGAACATCAGAATCGGCTGGATAATATAATACAGTATCATTCGTTCACCCTTAATCACAATATATAAGATTTCATGATCAGTCCGCCATGTTCTCCTAGTCAGCGTACAGTAATTAATTCGTATCTAAAAAGAACTTACTTGATCGGGATAACGTTCTTTTTTCTGCCGAAGTCGGTAGTCACGACGAAGCCTTCTATTGCTATAAAGATGAATTGGGCGAAAGTAAGCAGACTCCCACACGCTGGCTCCTCCCTGTGATAAACAAAGAAACATGGCCTTAATTTTGAGTACTACTACTACTACTAATATTACTACTTTATTTTTTTTAAATGGCCTCCAGCATCCTTCACCGCCATTTTATTACCTCAAAATTAAATATCCTCATACAAAAGTAACTACCCTAGCGGTGTTGAGTTAGCTGAGCCACAGATCTATGAGGCATTCAATGACTTGACTCATAGTCAATATCAGCGACCGTTGTCGGCTTTGTGGCGGAAGAACTCATTCCCCTGAGGTAGAGCAATGCAGACCTAAGCAGAGAAAAGGACAGTCGAGATCTCAACCAGGCTGTAGCGTAACTTCTGGGCTGCTGCAAGTTTACGGACTTGGCGCACCCAGCCCACGATTGCAGTTATCGTAAGGCTCCCTCCTCCTCCCCCCACTTTTTTTCTTAGCCTAACAGGTGGGAGGGAGATGAGTTTCATCATGCATCCTGGATGCGCAGTTTCAAAGTTACCAAACGACCTTACAGCTACAGTATATACTTATTCCTGTGGGTGACTGTACATGGAAAAAAGATAACAGGAATGCATGGAGAAGATGACTACAATAGACACAGGGTTAATATAGACAGTGAAACAGACAGGAGGTTGACAAAAATAGACAGATTCATACATGCACAAATAGACAATATGGCAACTAACATGACAGACAGACAGCTGACTGACTGGTTCACATTAGTACAGACGGGCTTACATTAAAACACAACGCAGACGAACAGACAGTTGGGACGGCAATAGACAGGACGGATAGACTCGAGACAGATTAGAAGGCATTTATAAACAAGAATAACACCAAATTGCCCATAGCTGCGCCAGTGAGGGTAGGAGGTCTTACACCAACCAGCGTAAATAATAAGATGCTTTGAAAACTAACATCCACACGCGGAAAGAACATCGATGGTCGGTCAGTCATGTGAGATGGGCCTAAAACTGACTAACCAGATGATGACTAAGATGACTTAACACAGGTGATGACTTAAGCAGATGGTGACTAATCTAACCAGAATCAAGGTCACTTCTCTTCATAATATAATTTATCTCGGAATGATCATCGGTGATACATATTTTTTTTTTATGATTTTAACCTCTCCTTATGGCGAATATATCTTTAACTAATTATTCTAACCTTTATTCTATTCCTTCCTATAGTATACTACATACTGTAAGTCCCACGACCATGATTATATCAACCACGACCATGATTATAGCAACCAGGACCATGATTATATCAACCAGGACCATGATTATAACAAGCACGACCATGATTATAACAACCACGACCATGATTATAACAACCACGACCATGATTATAACAACCACGACCATGATTATAACAACCACGTCCATGATTATAACAACCACGACCATGATTATAACAACCACGACCATGATTATAACAACCACGACCATCTGGAAAACGATTTCGCTGTACGCTGTCAGCAGGACGGTGGTTGCTCACTAGCCAAGCACGAGCGTTCGAACTTTCACGCCTTGATAAATTGTACCACCAGACTCGCCTCGCCACCGGGCGCGAAGGGCCCCATGATCACTTGTCTGCTACTATTGGAACAGCATTTATTAGTATTACATTTTCAGGTTGAGTAGATTCACTGCTATCAATTAGGATACCATCGGGTGGTTGGGTCCCGGAGATATCCACTGTGTCCTCCTGTGTCGGCTCTCTGCCTTGTGGGTTTCGACAATTGTTTCCCTTTCTGCAAACCACACATGGTCGGTTGTTCCTCTTACACTCACAGCTAGTGCAATTGTGGTACTGGCTAGCACAGACGCAGCAATGTCTGTTACCCGGCACAGTGTTCTGCACCTTAGGCGACAGTTATATTCGCCTCCGACATCTGCTTTGGTCGCATACAGAAGAAGAAACTAGTTCTTATGAGTAAAGGGCAGAGAGGTGACAGGCTGGACTGCTGTGTCTGGGTAGTAAGGGCATACGTGCGCTTGGTTGTGTAGGCCACCGCCCTGTGGGCGACAATCCACACAACAGAATAATACACTGGGAGCAAAAATTTACCTCTACTGCTACTATTAATATTACTGAGACAAGTAACTTTCCTTTACTGATACTATCAATACCATCACTATTAATAGTTATTACGGTTACTGATGGCTTTCTTGGGTAATTGTTGAGCGAAGTTACAATTTTTTTTCCATTGTTAAAATATACATTGTTTATATATCCGTACGCTCCATATAGTGTATACATGCTCAATCAATGTTAACTTGTACAGTATTGCGATTTTCCTGAATATCTATCTATCTATCTATTTATCTATCTATCTATCTATCAATCTATCCATCTATCTATTTATCTATCTATCTATCAATCTATCTATCTATCCATCTATCTATTTATCTTTCTATCTTTCTATCTATACATTTATCTATCTATCTATCTGTCTATCTGTCAGTCTATCTATCTATCTATCTGTTTGTCTGTCTGTCTGTCTCTCTGTGTATCTATCTATCTGTCTATCTATCTGTCTATCTATCTATCTATCTACGACTGCCCTAGTTATTACACATTAACAGGATACTCAGTCAGCTTTACACTTCAACTCTTGTCTAACAAAATATATGACAAGCTACATAATAGTTCCTTGATGTAAACAAAAATAAACCCAATATAAATTTACTTACTTGTAGGCTATAATATAACAAATTCTCATTCTTTGACATAGATATTTGTGGATAGAGATTAAGACGGTTTTATTTCCGTATTTGAGAATCACTCACTTTACTAGAAGCTCCAGGAACACAACATTGCTACAACAGCCGATGAAAACGAAGAGGATAGCGCTGACTGCCCCCATGGTAGTGAAGACGCTGAAACTTCTGAAATAGTAGAAATGTTTTGGATTATTTTCTTTTTCACTGTGGCTTTTAAAACCTGGAGGACAAAGAATTTCGCTCGTCATCCATAGGTAATTTAATTGATTGCGAATGCAATCACAAAATAATATGTAAAAAGAGTTATCAAGATTACATGACATGTTATCGTAAGTGCAATCGTTATTACTTCTAGAAAAGTTTGCATACTACTTTGATTTCATCGTGATAAAAATGCTACTATATATATATATATATATATATATATATATATATATATATATATATATATATATATATATATATATCTTGATAAAATCACTCGGGAAAACGGAAACAACGGAGTACCTTAGCTTTCGTCTTTATTCAAGACATCTTCAGAGGTAGGAATACAATAATAGTACTGAACCAGCTGATGATGACGTGCAGCATCGATCTTCTCAGCTTCTATTACTCGTTTTCCCTTTTCTGTAATATTTACTATCATATCGTAGTTCCTATCGATTATGATATATATGTTATTTTAAGTTAAATGGACGCACCATAGACCTTGTGGTGGTATTATGTAATCACAAACTTCAATCTTATCATGAGCATCAGGGGTCGTGTGGTTGGTCTGGCAACGAACCAAGTTTTTCACAGTTATTAATGTTCGAAGGAGAAATATTATAAGGAAAACAAGATGAAAATTGCAAAATAAATATAGGAGGAACGAGGCTAGAAGTGACTGGACGACAAATTAAACGTTAAAGGAAAATATATTGACGAATAAAGATGATATGAGAAAGTGAGGCTTACAAAACTTAACTTTGAAATTAACAAAATAATGCTGACAGGTCAAGCTAGATTGTATAGAAAGGACATGAAAGGATATAGAAGAGGATGACGGAAAGCCTAACTGCAGGGAAATGTACAGAAAGAATGAACAAATGGACCATAAAAAGGAAATAGATGGGGTGAGACTATTAAAAACAAAGTCAATATAATGCTTTTTGAGGCTGAAGAAATAAAAGATAGATAGATTGAGAATTTTGAGTGAAAGGGCTTTAGAGGTCCAAAAAATTTGTTGACTGATAAAGGTCTTGATAATGTAAAACACAATAAACTTGTAGATGTCTTGGAAAAATTAAGCTTTAATGAAGGAGATATTAAAATTCTATAAAAATCTATACTGGTAACAGTAGGATGCAGTGTTCTTTCTTCAATATTGTATAATATATATTCAGAATTCTTAATGAGAGAAGTTATACAGTAAGTGACGATGGCGGAATAAGCGGTAATGGTAAAGGAATATCAAATATACGTTATGCAGATGATGCTGCTCTTATCACCATAAACGAAATGGTTAACAAATTAGTGGGAAAAGGCCACAAATATGACTGAAGAGTTGAGGCAACAGAGAAATGAAACAAATGGAAAATTTTGTGTATTTGAGAAGTAACATTAGCAGTGATGGTAGATGCACGGAAAAAATCATAAAAAAATAGGGCAAGCAAAGGCAGCATTTAATAATCCAAAAGAGCCTAAGGAAAAGGGGCATTAACTTCACTTTGAGAAAAAGGCTGCTGAAAGGTTCTACTGTATATGGCAAAGACTGGTGTATGAATCGAAAGCGTGGACACCTTCTCAGCAGACACCAGAAAGAGATTGAAGGCCTTTGAAATCTGTTGTTACAGGCGAATGTTAAGAATAAGAAGCTACACTGACACTAAGATCAGCAAACACTTGAAATGTATAGATAAAGACAAATTAGATGCGTTGATCATATAATTAGGGAAAGAGGAATAATAACAAAAGTAGTAATGGGCAAAGTTGAAGGTAGGAGGACCAGGGGAAGGCACAGACTAGGATGGATGAATAAATTACAAATTGGATCCCCAGGAGATACTAAATCTTAGGATTGGTAAAAACAGACCGAAAACGTTTAGAGTGGAGGCCTGTGGTCGCCAACCTTCATATTTGAGGATGGTACTCTGATTGAATGTACTGGGGCATTTTGTGAAGACTATTTTCAAGTCAAACGACAAGATAGTTTTATCACCATGACACATTCCCTCGGGCGGATAACTCGTTAACACAAACGTCACTGACCAATTTCATTGATACTTACAAGAGTAATAAAACTTAAGACTCACGTTAAAGGGAACACCAGTCTATTATACTTCATCATTCAGAGGAAAGATGCAATTTAGTTCTCAAGTGTCATTGATTGATAAATTAATTTACTTTGGTTAAGAAATTACGCACTACTTCTCTCACATCCACTGCATCCTAAATAGTTCTTACATTAGCAGTCACTAATAAATGTTGGTGTCTCGCTAGTATAATACTAAGATGTGTCAACAGTTGTGTGGTGCACTAGTTCAGAGTTTATTTCTTCGCTGACATTCACTACGTCTCACTTTGGTACTACTTACATTTAATAAACAAACGAAGGGTAGATGTCGGTGATCCGCTGACTGCACAACTACCACAGTAACAAGAAAAATCTTTGTCCCATCGTTCAGCGCAAAAGAGACAAAATACGCTCACTTGCCTTCACTATTTCCCTCACATAACACAGTGACTGTTGGAGTGAGATAACTCCCCTGTTTAGTAGTGCCCAGGATAGCCACCACCACCACATACACGCGCACACACCACAAACCTTGGGATACCTCTCACTTCCTCGGTGAACATGACTCAACAAAAACTATATGGGATAACTCGTTATTAAACGCGTAATTTTTGTCAATCTTTTATTCAGAATACACATTTAGTATATTACCTGAGATGGGTACAGAGTACTCTTTATGTACTGTATGTAATTCAAATTTGATCGTCTTTGCTGATAGTGTACGATAAGTTATCTGTCGAATCAGAAATCTGCTCAAGGTACACACGGAGACTAAGCATGACTCATCGATATAGTGGCTCACGAGTTACTGTGCAGAGTCTACGTGGGCTGGGCTGGTAATAATAACACATCACCTCTCTTTGATGAGACTATGTAAACAAGGAAGGTTGTGCTCTCTCTCTCTCTCTCTCTCTCGGCCTTTTCTGCACATGCTCTTTATCAACCTTTTATTTCTCCAATCTTTTATTCATTATTTTACACATAACAGATATTTAATTCAACAAGAGAAATCTTTATTCTCAAGTTTTGGGTGATTCCTTATTTATTTCACACTTCAGATTATCCTTGACATAGATTGCTACTCCGCTTCCTTTCCTAATCTGCCTATCGGTATGGAATAATTTGTAACCTGCAATTTAGTATTCAACAGGTAACTCGCGTGAGTCTAGGTTTATCCCTGTTTCGGTGAATGCTATTATATCGATTTTTTCGGTACATACCAACGCCCTGATTTCATCCATTTTGTTTCTCATACTTCTGCTGTTTGCATAGTAGACATTTAAGTTAGTCGTTTTCCGAGTCCTCTCTTTATCGCGTTTTGGCTTAACTCCCATCCGAATTTCGTTTTGTCATAATTCCTAGCTCTATTTCCCTGTAACCTTTCACTTTGTTTACCCGCTCCCTCTGCAGTCTTCTCTACCCCCGTGTTCATATGTTCTAGCAGTTTAAAGACTTCGACATCTTTTGAAATGCCCTCTCGACAGAGCCAGCCAGGGTTGCCACCCCATCCCTTGACAGATTCACCCCATCCCTAGCACAAAGGTCCCTTCTGCCATAGAAGTTGTCCCAGTTGTCAAAGAATGGAACTGATATTGACTTGCAATATCTGTCAAGACGGCCGTTGACACCAAATGCCCTTGACAACCATTCATTGCCAACTCCCCTTCTAGGCAGGACACCACATATGATAGGGATCCCTCCCTTCGACCTAATACGTTCTATAGCTGTCTTGAACTTGTCAATAAGCTCCACACTCCTACACCCGCCAATATCATTACCTCCTGCACTAAGGCAGATAATGGATTTGTTCCCATTACCAGACAAGATGTTGTCCGTCCTTTCAACTATATTCCCCACCCCAGCTTCTGGCAAGCACACCCTCGTCGTATTTATATTTTTACCACAAAAAGCTCTGTCCAGGTACGGTACCTGGGAATCGCCAACAATTAAAGTTTTCGTACCTTCCTTGTCAGCCTTGCCCCTGACTATGCTAACGTCCAATTCGTCTATCAAAGGACTGAAAGGGTTGGTACACTTAGCTGTTGTTGTCGTATCCTTGGTGGGTTTTTTCACCACCAGTTTGGTCGTCCCTCTCCTCACAACCTGCCATTCGGCTGAGTTTTCGTCAGACACCAATGTTTCTGATAACCGCTGACTTGTTGCGATACACTCTCGTATCAGTGTTCTTTTTTTTAATTAATGATGTTACCATCTTTAGTATCTCATCAAATGCTTCACTATCCATGCGCAAGGAGTTTCTGTAATCTTTTGGCTCACTGACTCTTATATCCCGAAAAATATTTTTGTGGGTCCATTGATATCTTTTCATGTACCGTTGTTTAATCCACCGACGCTTATTATTTATTTATTTTCTGAACACAAAACGCTAATACAATGGCTATACATGCCACATCTGTGTCTGTCATGTTGCCTCTTTGAGTGTGGGTGTCGCACTAACGTATTTTTGCACAATAATATTAAGCCATGTAGAGGGTGTACATATTGCCCAATAATAATGATTCAAAATATTGAATCAATAATGTTGACCGTGTAGGCACCGATTTGCCCTATATTATTAGATTTACTTTGACTAACACAGTCCACCTCCACACACTTCTCCGACACACAGCTCACCACCACACACAGCTCACCACCACACACAGCTCACCACCACACACAGCTCACCACCACACGCAGCTCACCACCACACACACACCACTACTCACACAGCTCACCACCACACACAGCTCACCACCACACACAGCTCACCACCATACACAGCTCACCACCACCACACAGCTCACCACCACCACACAGCTCACCACTACACACAGCTCACCACACACAGCTCACCGCCATACACAGCTCACCGCCACACACGTCTTCGATACACAGATCACCAGACTAAAATGTCCTGTCGAGCCAGAATAATTCTATGGAACTGATTCTTATACTAAAATATAAACCAAAAGTCTCCTTCATGTTATATATGTTACACGAACACTTCTCAGTTCATTATATGACAAACTGCACCTAAACCTAAGTTAACACAAAATAACCTCACAGAGCAGGGAGAATAGCTCCTGGCAAGGCAGGTCTCGAGTCCCGGTGTAACGGGCCAAATTATACCCCTAAGCTGTTTAACATCTCGTAAAGCCAGATTAACCCCCAACAGTATTAGTTACTGAAAGTTTATTTCAAAGAAATTTAGTAATATTACAACCATCAACGATGAAAATTTTATATATTTAATTGTCTGTGGTCATCAATTTAAGCATTTTAACTTGTTTGAATCTGTGCTGTTTGACAGAATAAGAATACCCAATGTCCTTCATCCCCACTGTATGTTATTACAATACTTGGATAGCAGGATCAAGAGTCTGATAGGAAATATTAGGTTAGTCATTTATTATATCATATATTGATTATATCATATCGTGATATATCATACATAGTAATTTTGGGCCATTATCTAACCTAACCTAACCAGAAATAACATAACACATTCCTAAGTCAGCAACGTTGATTTACCATAGGGGTGTATTCTGGCCTCCTTTTGAAACTTTTCAGAGTTCCCGCACTTACTACAAAGTTGCTAAGCTTGTTCCACTCGTCCACCACCCTATTTGTGAACCAGTTTCTTCCTATCTCCCTCCTAAACTTAAACTTATCCAACTTGAATCCGTTGCTCCGAGTCCTATCCTGCTCGGATATTATAAGAACTTTATCTATATCCCCTTTATTGATTCCTCTCACCCACTTAAATACTTCTATCTTATCTCCCCACACTCTTCGTCTTTCTAGGGAATGCAAGTTAAGTTTCTTTAACCTATCCTGATATGGAAGGTTTCTAAGTCCCTGAATCATTTTTGTCATTCTTCACTGCACCGACTCTAGTGAATTGATATCCATTCTATAATAAGGGCACCAGAACTGAACCGCATAGTCTAGGTGCGGCCTGACTAGCGCAAGATATAGTTGCAATAAGACCTCTGCACTCTTGTTACTTACACTTCTAGATATAAAACCCAATACTCTGTTTGCCTTATTTCGAACATTAACGCACTGTTTTCTAGGCCGTAGGTCCGGGCTTACAAGTACCCCTAGGTCTCTTTCACAAGTCGACTTCTCTAGGTTGATGTTGTTAAGGCTGTATACATTATACGTATTTGTTCTTCCAATATTAAGTACGCTACACTTGCTGGAGATGAATTTCATTTGCCATTTTTCAGACCACCCCTGCAGTTTATTTAGATCCTCCTGTAATGCATTTGCATCCTGCCCTGAATTAATTTGCCGCCCTATTTTGGTGTCATCCGCAAACTTGCTTATGTCACTGCTGATCCCGATAACCAATAAATGTAAGCCAATCAAAATCACTTTGTGTTTGCGTGAAATTTGTTTCTGAAGATGTGCTAAATACACGAAAGCGCTAAAGCAATTTTATATTTTTCTTTTTACTGTGGTTTATGAGTGTCTATAGTACAGTATGTATAAAGTCACCTATGAGTGCCGGATATCGAACAACTGAACCACAATTTACATTGATTTACCTCAGTGTGTATATATATATATATATATATATATATATATATATATATTCCTTACTTCAAAATTCTTGGAGAGGAAGGTCATCAGCTTGTGGAGAAGGGGGTGATGTCGGGTGAGATGGAAGGCCCCGTTGGCAGCCAAGCTGTCATAACCATTAGAGTTTGGTAAGGCGATGTGCACCAGGGGGTTGTAGAAGACGGACTCGACACCAATTACGTTCTTGAAAGTGGTGACATTGGCTAGGCAGATGAAGTCCGAGTCGGCGTAGAAGCCTCCTGTATGCCACACCAGCGCCAGGCGAAGCAGGTCACTAAGATTGACTGCTGGTCAGGCTCAAAATAAAGGAAAAATAGTCACTATAATACCTTCATCTATCAATCTTAAATATTAAAACTGCTCTCCAATAAAAGATAATCTCCTGATACTTTAGGAACAACTTAATGTTACTAATTAACTACTTATATACCTATATGCCTTGTTCAGGTATTACTATATCTCCACTGATTAATCTTATACAGTTGTCCCCTGGTGAGGTCCGGCTCTGGTCGTTTATCTAATACAAAACAAAATGAAGGATTCTAAAACCTGAAACATCTAATCGTGTATATATTGTTACGAGTTAGGGATTTAGAATATAGTTAAAAGTCTACCCAGATCCCAACAGGCAACAACAACAAAAAAACAAAGACAATCGGACTATAAAAGGGTAGACAAAGGATGCGAGTTTTTGTTGTGTATAATAAAGTACCATAAATCCCTTAACAAAATATTCAGCTTTCTGTAATTTACCCTTAACCATACTTAACCTAAACATTAACAGTATATACATATTAATACAACATAAAACAATCGTGAAGCAAGGTGGAGGTGGGAGAGGCAATACAAGATTACAAATACTTAAGTGAGGAGCTGAGATGGCTGACGAGTAAGGCTGAGTATTGAAGACGGTGGTAGATAGTCACTGTGCCGTAGGTTTCCAGGATAGGTGGTCCTGTGGTCACTTCCCAGAGTGAACTGAACTCTCCTCGA